GTGTTCGCGCGCGTTATATGGGGTGTATGCAAGGAAGAGCATGTAATGCTGACATAACTGATAACTTATGTGTTGTCATGTAACATAATGTCATATGTATGAATTTGAGTAAAAGAATCCTAGATATAATAATCCGGGTCCCAAACAACCAGTCTCTCTCAGCTGAGAGCTGTCTTATAATCTGTTAAATGAAATTCACAAAAGAGATGGTTCCGTCAGTCTTCACTGTGCAACAAAACAAACATTCATGGTCAATTCACACACGAGGGAACGTTCGATGGTGATTGTCCTTCATTGTTGCATTTGGGTCAGCATCCGTTGCCATCCTGTCATTGTCATACGTTTCTGCGAACTACTAGAGACCGCGAAACGCCAAGTAGCCCCAGCCACCATAGGTACGGTGCATGCGAAGTTCGCCGAGTGAGTGTGTACGTTTCTAGAGTGCTTTTGTCAATTTATGGTAGGTTTTTGGGTATCAATGATTAGCAAGGTTGCCTGGAGAATCGTTGGTGTATAAGACAGTTGCTAATCTCTTTCTTCAGGGTTTACAATAGAAAGAGAGGGTGGGGATGGGATAGATTAATGAACGGTTTCAAAGTATAAACATGGGGCAAAAAGGGTAGGGGGAGAACTGTACCTGGTGGTCGGAGTTGTCCTATCATCCGTTCGCTTTCCCTTACCTTACAACGGTAATCCGGGCCCCTACCTCCCTTCCCCCCTTGATTTCGCACGTTCAGTTCCTTGGTTGACTTACTTCTTTTCGTCTCGGTTTCCCCTCTGTTTGTTCTTCCCTTCACCGTCACCGGTCTTTGGTCCGCGTGCATCATTTTCCTAATCCTCTCTTTGCCCGCGTTTTCGCTCACTTCCGTTTCCTTTTTTTTCGTCCCCTCCCCTCTTCCCTATTCGTTCCTGCCCTCCTTTACTACTTCGTATCCATGCTCCCAACCTTCCTCCCGCGTATCCCCACCGATTTGCTCCGGTCCTTCTCTTGTGCCTTCCCTCGATACGAAAATTGCCCGCTTCCTTACTTTCCCCCCGTTTCCTCTCCTATTTCTCTATCGTTTCACTTCTCTTTCTTTCCATTTGATTTTATTGTCTTGCCTTCTTTCACGTTTACCTGGCATTTTTTGATACCCCCATTCCACCTCGTGCTCCTGTCGCGCCGTTCCCTATTCCCGCTTGTCGCACGGGTGCCTTATTCCCCGGGGTTCTTTCGTATCCTAACTCCCTTTTATGAGAAAACTTCCGCATAGCCGTTGTTCCCCCTATACCTCCCGCTGCCGGGGGGTTTTGCTTCTATTCCCCGTCTGCCTATGCCTCTTACACCCCCCTCCCTCTTCCCTCCCGGTGGACGTTCCTCTCCCGTGTTCCCCACCCGTGTCCCCATTCCCATCGTGTTCTTTGCCATGTTCTTTCTCCTTTTCCGTTGTTGTGTCCGGGTCTAAGTGGCATCGTACTGGGCTCTCAGTTGCTTCAGTCTTCTTTCCCTCTCCTCTCCCCGGCTTCACTCATTCATTCTCGTCAATGAGGCGTCGCCTGCTACTGGCTTTCTGGTTTTGCCTCTCATTGCCTTTTGTGTGTCCCTTGTTCAGTCCCGACGCTTAAGCCCAGGTGCTACCGTGACTGTGCGACAGTGGTCCCTGCGTTGTTGGCGTGATCTCCGCGTCCGCTTGATCCAATTTATACTGTTTCCGCTGCCTGACTCTTCATCCGGTTGTCTGCGTTTCTACTCTCTAAGCCCGGCTCACCATTTTTTTTCCGGTTCTCTCGGACTGCATTGGCGATGTCTGGGGCTGACTTCTCTGCGGCCTCCACGAAGTTTTCACACTCCTACTTGGTTGGTCTCGGTCCTCTAGTAAATTCTTCTTCGATCTCCCCGGCTGTCTCGGCGCCCTTTCTTCGAGGTGTATATCTCGTGTTTTTCCCTTCGTTCGTCTTAGCGTCCCGTCTTCTTTCTCCGTCTGGCTTCCCGAAGTCTCTTCGATTTCTTAATTCCGTGTACGCCGGTTGTCCCTTCCCCTCCACCCTTCTTTTCGCTTCATGCAGTTCTTCTGCCGCCACACAGCGATTGCGGCCGTTCCAATTTGCCCTCCACTCCCTATGCTCTGCGCCTGCTTGTCAAAAGAATCGTCTCTTGCACCGTATTTGCCCTCTCTGGCTAGGGCTGGGTGTGCGCCCTCCCTTCCCTCCTTTTCCCTCCCTCCATTCCCCTTCTTCGCCCTTTTCTTCTTTCGTCCTTCCTCTTTCCTTTGTTCTTTCCTCCCCTTTTTCCCCCCCCTATCCCGTCTCTGTTCACAATTGTCATACTCACTTTAAGTTGACAATGTTAAAACCGTCTCCCAAGGAATGCAGTGTCCAAGGTCAGACCTAACATTGAGCATAAAAAATGGAGCTACGCTTTCCGCTACATTTCTGTGTCCACAACACATACGTAGCTCTTTTATACTTTCCACTGGTACCCAGAAACCCAGGTAACTCTGCCTTGTGTTCCAAAACTCCACGTAAAACAAGTGAACGGCGTGGAATGTAATCAGAATGCGCTGTTACAAAGTAAGCCTGTTCTGTGATGAAGAACTCATAATACGACGGTTCTCTTCCTCTAGCAGCCCTATAGTGGCTGCACATCATTGGCAGCAGCTGCAGTTGTGATACTACATCCTTTACACCTATCCTTCACACCTACCCTTCCAAACCTATAGTATGTTTGGAATCTCGATACCACAATGTGTTCATAAGCTATCAATCAAACGCCAATGCAAGGCATTTTTGGCCAGTGGGAGCAAGTCATTTTTGGGCTTTGGAACACAGTTAGTACGGATTACAAGGAAGATGAGGTGACGAGAGGACTATTTTAAGGGACTGTAAGACTACGACATACAAATGTGTGTTATAATGAATGACTGCTAAAGTGCATGTCTCAAGAACTTGGTAGTGAGGTAGAAAGGCAAGGCAAGGCAAACAAGTCAACTACAACTCTTTCTTTTCTCAAGGTGCCTATGTGTGCACTCGAACTAACGATATTCTGCAGTCTAGGAGAGCCCTCTAGCTATAAACCAACTGAGTTACACCAGGGCAACTCAGCTTCACACAACACAACACTAAGGCAAACCTCAAACCGAGCGAGCGCGTGTACGGGAAGGCGGGGCTCAGTGCCCGCCACAGCGAGCGCTTGTACGCGTGATCTACAGTAAAGTGTGGCTGGCTCGTGTCCGCCGGATGGAGGAAGGAGGAAGACGGCGAAAGAAAGTTGCGCATGGAGACGATCCGCCACGATAGGGTGGGGACTGGGGAGACCATGAGTAAACGCATACTCTTGGCCCAACCCATCAGTGAGCAGTACCGCGCATGCGTAATGCACCGCGGGTTTGCACTTTAGTGCTTTTCAGCTAAGCCATCCATGAACACACACTCATAGATGATGCCAATAGTCTCCTGGAGTGCATAAAAATATTGGGCAACAAACCACTATCTTTTTTACCGGAACCACCAACAATGGGCAACACATTATGAATAGCGGATATGGGGGTGGTGATCCGCTCTGGGAAAAGGTATATACCGCAAAAATTCAAAATTGCGTTACGCATATCATTGGAAAGAGCAACGCACGCTGCATACAAATGTAGAGACCGCACCTTCGTAGCTGCTTCCGTTCGAGCGCTATAGATTCTAGGTCATAGTTTTCACCTGTGTCATAAAGTATATTTGCCAAAACCATCGAGTTTTTTTGCATAGCTGAAAATCTATATTTGCGCGGAATGGTACCTTTTCTCAGAGCAGGTGACGGTAGATCCTTCATTCAGATGTTCCCCTGTACAAGAGCAAATGGTTAGGTCTTGCAACACAAGGAAATTGTGTGGTGGTGGTTTACAATGCAACTATACTGTAGCTATACCTGGTGCATGTGGGAAGAACATGTGGGAGTAATGAACCTTAATCTTGGCTCTCCCCACATGGTACACACCATTCCACAGGTTGTTGGTGCTTGACTGTGCTTAATTAGCCACAGGGTAGTAGTGTAATTTGGTGGTATTTGGGTGGTACTGTCTTAACAGTATTGCAATCTGTAGCATATATCATCACCTTATCTGGTATATACAAGAGCATTATTTACTTAAACCAGGGACGTAACTAATGTGAACTTGATGCATTAACTTGACAGACAAACCAACCCTCTCTGCGCTTACGCTCCGAGGGATGATAACTACATGATAGCATTTTTCAGTGCCACTGCGAGCAATTCAATTTCAGGGGTGGGCATTAATTAATGTAGGATATCGTTACGGGCTGTGCTCCTGTTGCCAATTTTGTTACTTCCTGTCATGAGCAGGGCTTAAGTGTCGACCATAGAAGCGCTCCGTGATCTACCGTAGTGACTAGCTGCAGGAAAGAAACGATAGCTTGATGTCCGTGCACACCTCCGGCGAAATTGGAGGCAAAAATCAGCGCTTGAAGTGGTACTGGTAAGGAGATAGCGGGTTTAACGTCCACCACGTACTGCTTTCGTCTCGCATGACGCACCAAAACGACGCCCACCTCTGCTACGGATAAATAGATCGTTGCGACCATCTTGTTCTCCTGGGGTCGACGGGTGAGTCACACACGATTGCCGCTACCAGTTATAACGGTATGTTCAACGGGCAACCCAGCATTTATAATATACGATTAAAAAGTCTCGCTTCGCTTACGAAGAATAATGTGTGGGTCTTTTTCATTGCAATCAGCCGTCTTCCTCCTCCACCATCTTGTTGTGTGCTTGCACAGAGACACATTCTTTGCCAAAAAAACCTCGAATGCGCTCTGGGACAGCGACAACCTAATGATCTTGGCTGGTATGGGACTATTTGTTCTACTATTCATTTTTGTATATACTTATAAACTTCTTTCAGGTCGCGATATGGTGGCTGGGAGGAACATGGATGGGAGTTGACCAGAGGTGAAAATTGGCAGCAGTACCAACATTCCTTCACCTTACAATGGCAAAAAGAAAGGGAACACTAGCAGAGGTATTGTGTTTTGTTCAACTAGTGTAGGTAGTGTAGCTGATACTTCGTACAAACACTGGTCTACTGTGATTTCAGAGTCAAGGGAAGAGCAATAAGTACTTGTTATAATCACACTAAACATCATCCCCACTCACTAGGCCTTTTAGTGTCAGGTTATCTTCAGGAGGTCAGCAAGCAGCTGAGTCCTCTGGACTACTGCCAGTCAGTTCTCTCCAATGCCCAGCACTACAGTGGCTTCAACCTCATTCACAGCAAAGTTCAGGTACTTCTGTCACATAGTGCAGTCGATGATGCTTACTGGAGATGGGCCTTCCCAACAGTCCCAGTAAAGTAGAAGCTGCCTACTGTTGCAACAGCCATCAGCGACAGCATACATCATGCCACCCTGGTGTCTACGGTCTTATCATCAGCTTCTCAACTCACCAGAGAAGAAACTGGTCCAGGGCAAGTCAAAATTTGAAAGAAATTGTGTCGGGTTTGCAGGATGGGAGTGTTGATGAGAGACAGTGTGAGAACATCTTCTGGACCTCCTTTGTGATGAGACGTGGTATGTTACAGTTTAGATCTCAAAATTAGCTACTGCAGTGTGCAGAGACTGTCCTAATCACTAAGTAGCTATGGTACTTAGTATATAGGTATAGTGGAGGTTATCCAGCATTGTAGTACTACAGAGGCCCTAGAAATCAAAGTAGCGCTCCTACCACAACAGTATTGTGTAGTTCATTAATAATTAACACTCGGCGCGCACGCACAGCGAGGGTACTGTACTTGTCTGTGTGTCCTGTGTGTCTACGACTATTCTCGCACACAGGCTACGAGGCGGCTTATGAGCGATACCAACACTTCAGCGGTACAGGGGCTAGAGGAAATAAAATGGTGATTTTTGCTGAAACGACCGCGATCGAGAATGCTACCCACTGATGCAGCTAGCCTGTGTTAGGGCGAGAAACTGGCTCCATCAATGACTCATGGTCCAGCCCATACGTAGCTTACATCAACGCTACAATGCGCGCATTTTGTGCCGAGGGTTTGCACTTCAGTACTTTTCATTCAGCACTAAGACTTAGATGTACAGTCTTAGTGCACTAAGACTGTACATCCCTTGTTAACCCTCGGCGCGCATGCGCAGCGAGGGTTACAGTACTTGGGTCTGTCTGTCTGTCCTTCTGTGTGTCTGTTACTCAACATCTCACTTCTCCAATGTTTTTTCGTCTCACAAACGATACTACCTACTTAACGGGCAATGAAGGTCAGAAATTTTTTGCCGATTTTCCTGAAACGACTGCGTTCGAGAGATAATTATGCCGTGAAAACAAGCGAAAAAGCCAACTGCTCACTGGGCTTACCGCGACCTGATCTGCTCGCTCTGTGTACCTTGGGGGCTCAAGAAGTCACAACGAATGGCATGTATCGACTCCCGCTCTACTACTGTAGCTAGCCCGTGTCATACTCTCCGCGAGCTACTAGCTGGAGACCACGACTCCACGAGTACAGCCGCAGTATCGCGCATGCGCAGTTCGCCGAGGGTTTGCATCTTTCATTCACGAAGTTCATGTTATGAGTAACATGGCGACAATATAGGTGGAGGAAAATTAAAACGATCAAGCAATGTCAGTTTGTATAGCCATCATTCATTGTACTACTGCATCACATGCACAAGGTCATCCCTACCTTGTTTCCTTGCTTTTTATGGCATCCCTATATTCCTCACTTATTTAATTCACAGAATATTACCTACTTGTAGATAAAAGCCTTTACGCACAGGGATTTTGTGCTGTAATCCCAAGCCCAGCTAACTCTTGTGATTCCTACAATACATAATGGAAAGTTTTGTTATTTTTTCAGTCTCTATCCTGATGAGAATTATGCAGCTCTTGGATTTCCCGATAATGTTCTGAAGCATATTACATCAGTGTTTTGTGGCTCCGACATTACTCTATGGCGAACCATTTGGAACAAGGTAATGCTTGCGCTGTCTACATAGAGTGTAGTTGTCTCAAAGGACACCTCTAATATCATGACACCCTCCTTATTTTTAAGATAACTCTGTTTCCACATTGCATGCTAAGATTGCATGCATAAAATGTGAATGTGAACGTAAAGTTTTGACTCAATGGCTATGCTATGCAAACTCAAGTGTTTTTTCTGAGAATTAGGAAATTTATGATCATCAGACACAACATAATACTATGTGAGGTGAGTGTGTCAGCTGCATACTTTAAAATTCCGTTTACACGCTACAGACTGGTTCGAATAAAAATGTAGTTGCCTTACATCACCCCAAAATTCATATTTGCCACATCTACCTATTTGTAGTTACAAAAATCGCAGCAACAAGCACTTCTCTGGATCATGTCCAAAGCAGCTAGGTATTGCCAATGTCAGTGCATTTGTGCAGAAAAGGCAAAAATTGAAGCAAAGGCAGTGACAGAGGTTACTATTAGTTAGCTAAACATCTCGGTAAGCCCTTCAAAGTGTTCACTCACTACTGCCAAACGGGACAGCAAAACTGTGGTGAACGTCGATGACTCCGTCTTCATTGGTATAAAGGTACGGCAGAATATGCGAGCTTAATAGGAAAGGAAATAGACTTTGGTGTCTCTTAGAGCATAGTAAGACAAAAACCCTGGCAAATTCACGGCAAACAGAAATGCACATCCTAGACTTAGAAAGTTCTTGACTAGTGATTGTATGTTCGTGTTGTACCTAATCATGTCACTGGTGACCTTTAGTACCATTATGACTCCACCATGTGCAGAGGCGGATCCAGCATATTATGATAACTGGGGGTTGTACTTGCGCATGCGCAGGTAGGGCCTCAGAGAGGGGGCGCAGTTAGCGTATATACGAAACGTAGCTACTCGTACTCGGGTGCTTCTCTGTTTCGGATGTTACAGAGTAACAGCGTGAACTTTTGGGGCGCTGCTTGCCCTGTTCGCTGCACTCTTCGGTGCCTGACCAAGGCTGTACCCCTTTCCAATCTTCCTAAAAATTCCCCTCCGAACACTTCAATATACGCAAATTTGTCAAGTTTTGTGACAATCCTACTTGCTCATCTTCTCATTTCATGCTAAGGCACTCCTTTTGCAAAAACCAGGCTGAGAGAAATTTTTATTTCAATCGCATTCCCCGCCTTTGGAATTCTCTATCATCATTTGACATTAATGTCCCTATTGCTACCATCAAGGCTAGACTGCGAAACTTCTTTTGGATTCAATTCATCTCACACTTTCAACTTGATAATGTATGCTCCTATCACCTATGCCAGCTTCCCATCTCAATGCATTTCACTACTAAAATGTTGTTCATGTTGTGTCCTATTCTGTGTATTGTTATGGCTGCTGGCTTGATGCCTTCAGTCCTTCGACACAGCTGTCACCACCTCCCGTGTTATGTCACACTTTTTTCTGGTACCACCCCCTAGCTACCTGTGTTGTAAAGCTCAAATAATAATAATAATGAGTCGTTAATGCACTAAAGTGCAATCCCTCAGTCCATACGCATGCACAGGTTAGTACACTGTTGATGCTGCCTTTGTAGCTCGCGGCTATTGTTACCTTTTGACCGGGGCTAGCGTCTACCTAGCTAGCTACCAGCTTAGTTGCCCTTGTATAGAGCTCATTTGGTAAGGTGCTCGACTAGCATTTAGGATGTGGTGGGTTCAAATCCCACCCAGAGTAACTCTTCTCTTTTGAAAGCGGCCCTGAGGGTAGTTAATTTGTTTTCTTGCTCCAGGACTAACACAGTTGTGATGGTTAGTGGCAGTGGAGAAGTCACGTACACTGAGAGAACTAGAGCAGTGCCAGTGGACCTATCCCAACAACAGTGGGAGACAAACAGATTTAAATTTGTGTATTAATTGATTTATTGACCCTCAGCAAACCAAATTTGATCTGAGAAACAACTCTCTTACTAGATATTGTGTTGTAGCTACAACCGGTGATGGAGTGTACGAGGAGTTTGTGGAATTTTTATGCGTAGCATTATGGCAAGATTTTTTATATTCCCTTACTATAAAAGAGTGTGTTAGGAATTTTTTGTCCGATCTGCTCAACCCAGGTTTGGGGAGAAAGGAGGGTTCTAAGCTCACACCGGGATCCTCGGAAGTAACACTATCAATACGCCAAGGGACCCAAAGCACAGAAAGCTTCATCAACTAGTTCACTGTGTAACTTCTTTTCCTCAAGACCTAATCCCTTTCATTCAAACAGATACAAAAAAGTAATAATGTCAAACTGTCCATCAGGCTTATCTAGAGCACACCACCAGGGTGTGCTCCTTTCCATTGTCACGATAGATAGTCCCCGGTGCAACCTGCCTCCACGTAGTAGAAGAAGGCATCTTCAGAACTTTGCCCACTGGTGCTTGGAACAGTCTCAGGGTCCTTGTCCACACACTGGTATGTCGATTGATGGTTGTTGGAGTGTGAGTCATGAGGTAGCCATTTGTACTCCATAGTCCATTAGCTGGGCAGTGACATTTGCTGGGATCATGACCACTGTGAATTGTGTGGTGGTGTAGCACACGGAAACATTCTGGTTTTCAACACTGGACAGTGGCTATTGACTCTGGCTCAATGTTCCACTCCATGTAAAGCACTCCCTGGGTCACAGTTGTCAACCGAAGGTACTCGGAGTGTTTGGCATGCAGAGATAGTCAGCTCCTCCAACTGTCCCCTCCAGCTCTCCCAGAGTACACTAGTATAGTTCCCTGGCCACTTGACAAACAGCGAACATACCCATAGCTGGTGCAACTCAGTTTCTGATTGTCCGTGGAGCAAGTGAGCTATATACCACAGTCACAAGTTCCCTTCTCTCCCTGTGTTCCAGGCAGTCCGTTCTCTCCTGGTGGCTTGGTTTCCCAGGTGTCCGGGCTGTCCAGCTGTGCCAGGTCTCCAGGTAAACCATTCTTCCAGTCTAACCATGCAGTCCTTGTGGGCCTGGCTCTCCAGGTAGTCCATGTTTCCTAGAGGACCCTGGTCACCTTTGTTACCCATTAAACCTGTGCCCACTGATCCTTGTGTCCGGGAAGGCCACCTTTTCTCCTGAAGACCCGCTGTCTCCTTTATCTCCTTTAGGTTCCTTGTGTCTCCACGTGAACCATCCAGTCCATTAGAACCAGGGATCCCGGGAGGTCCAGTAGACACATGCTTTCCCTTTTCTCCTTTTGCACAGCTTTTCCTTGAGAACCTTGAATTCTGTGAGGTCCTCGTGGTCCAGCATCTTCACTTACCAGTCTGTACGGTTTTATGAATATTTGGCATACATAGCAAATATATAATTATGCTAATGTTATAACATGATTCCTATGAGTGAGTGCCTAAATGAATAGAGTGAGTCAGAGAGGAGTCAAGGAGGAGGATAGTAAATAATACAAAGGAACTATAATAAATAAAGTTATGCCTAGCCGGCGTCAGATAGTCTCAGTTTTGGACAGTACCAAAGACGACTCCACGGTGTACAGAGAGTCACTATAGAGTCTCTTTGACTCAGAGTCCTACCCACAACTGGTGCCAGGGAAGGGAATGTGTATTGTGTGACAAGGAGAACTGGCAGGACTTCGTTTACCAGGCGGAAATTTACGTGGCATGCTAAATCCTGCAATGTTATACGCTTCAGAGATAATCAACATTGAGGCATACGCTCTGACACGGTATATAGTTGTGCTCTGCGAATGGTTACAGTTTTTATAGTCATTACATGTTTTTATATACATGTAAAGTAACAGCTCACACTTGACTTTCTTACTGTCTTACAGAAAGAAGGAAGGAAAGGAAGTATCAGAAGGGCCTCTGGGGCTTCACTTGATATCTAACAAGCCGTGGGCAAACAAATCAAGTTACAGCGTACGCGCCAGATAGTACAAAGCAGTAGCATGAGGATACATGTATGACAAGATTTGATGACAGACGATAGAAATGGTTTTTTCTCAACATCCAAATACAGCAGCAATAGAAAATGTAGGGAGGTAATTATTATTTAGAATACCACCATTTTTGGGCATATTGGGTGACTAGGCGCGGACTTTATACGCTCTCTCTTTGTGCCCAGTTGTACTTTGAGACATATCTGCATTTATGCTACAGAAAATCGGTTGGTTGCAACGACAAAGTAAGTTACTCGCTCCTGCTCGTAATTTTTTCACAGCTTACTCCACATTACCTTATTGACAGTCATTACCGCCGGCCCGCGAACAATCGGTATGCACTCGCTCTCTGCTTACCGAAACAAGTCATTATTATGGCCACCAGGCGATGTTTTCATAAGTTTTCGCACGTAACTACGGTAAGTCGCTGCTAGCTCAGAAGTCAATGTTTGCTGCTGGCGTAGTGACAGACGCGCCGGACAATTATCGTGCCGGAACCCTCGCCCTCGCCGGCTTGTAACTAGGTTTTGAACAGCGTAGCTACACCTTATTTTAAATCGCGTGGTGGGCAACTTAGATATACTGCTGAAAGAACTTTAAGCCTCTGCGTTTTGTATTGTGTGCGCTGCGGCGTTAATTAACCTACTCTTAGTGCTTGCGGAGCTACAGCTCTTTACCAGCGATCTACCGAAGCAGTCTCTAAAGGTTGAATCTTTAAGCAACAGCGACATTCGTGCAGAGCAGGCCTGCCCGTTCGATACATTGATTCACATCTGCCGCCTTGCACGAGCGTATGCGCACGCCAACTTGCCATCCAATAGTTCCGTGTTTTGCGGGCAGGCCGTGCGCTAATTGCGCACAGGAAGCCGCTCGCCACGATTCTTTGCATGGTATTTTGTTGGCGTGCGCATATAGGACAATTATTCAGAGTAGAGCGTAGTTGTTATTTTTTAAAATGTGAAGTCACACGCTTTTGTCTCAATGAAAATTTTTAATTATATAGGAACAATTGATCCCTGCGTTTTCGATTGTGAAGGATGTTTTACGCGTGTTTTCACTGAGGAGGACTTTTTGCCTCTTAGGACGCTACATCCAGTCTTTGCCACGCACACCTTTCTGTCGCTGCTATCACGACGCTCTCCAGCAAGATTCCAACAACGTTAAAGTCCTAGAGGACGGCATGCGATGGCGCAGTGGTCAGTTTCGTTATATCAGCTGCTGCTAAGCGTCCGAGATTGTTCTAGCTGAGTACACGAGAGAGAGACTAGCAAGTGTCGTCGTGTCAATGTTGGCTGTGATCAGACGCGTCAAATGGTCTGCGTATTTCCAATGTGTTTTCGGCTTTAAAGAGCTGGAGTGTAATGGGAAGGGTGATCAAGCATCTGTAGGCAAGTTTAGCGACAGAACAAGTTCGGGAGAAGGTTAGAGGTTATTAAAACTCTGTATTGTCCGTGTGCGTGTATCATAAACAAAGTCCTCCGATGACCATGATTACACGACCATGTATGATTCTGTCGGGTATGACTTCGTTCGTCCCCTATGGTACGTATTCTCGTTGTTTCTAGTTTGACATTTTATTAATTTTTTGCTATCTGTTGAAATGAAAGGGGATTAGGTTTGAGGAAAGAATGTTACACAGTGAACTAGTTGAATGAAGCTTCTGTGGACTTTGCGGTCCCTTGCCCGTATTAATAGTGTCTACTTAGGATCCTGTTGAGCTGTCAGCGGACCTCCCTTTCTCTCCCAAACCTTGGGCTTGAGCAGATCTGAATAAAAAAAATTCCTAACAATTTCTTTGTATGTAAGGAATAAAATCATGGCTCATGCTCCCTATCGCCAATAAAAATTCCCACAACTTCCTCGGTAACACCCATCCACCGCGGTGTAGCTACCAAACACAATATCGTAGTTAAGAGGAGTTGATTTCTCAGATTCTCAAATTTGGTCTTGCAGGGTCATATAAATACAATTAATACACCAAATTTAAATCTGTTTGTCTCCCACTGTTGTTGGGATAGGTCCACTGGCACTGCTTCTACGTTCTCTCAGTGTACTGACTTCTCACTGGCCACTAACCGATCACGCAAACTGTGTTAGTCCTGGAGCAAGAAAACAAATTAACCTACCTCCACCCCCCGCTTTCAAAAGAGAAGGACTAGTTACTTTGGGTGGGATTTGAACCCTTCACATCCTAAATGTCTATGTCGAGCGACCTTACCAAATGAGCTCTATACAAGGGGCACAAAACCTAACGCTAAGGTTAAGCTAGCTTAGGTAGACGTTCAGCCCCGCGTCAAAAACCGGTAATACAGAGTGAGCGCGGGCGGGAGGCGTGAACGCAAAGGCAGCGATCAATCAAGAGCTGTTACTAACCCTGTGGCATGCGTAACTGGGACTGAAGGGATTATGCAACTTTAGTTGCATTAACGATCACTTATATTATTCATTTTGAAGCTTTTACAACACGGGTAAGCTAGGGGTGGTACCAGAAAAAAGTGTGGACATTAACACGGGATGTGGTGCAGCTGTGTCGAAGGGACTGAAGGCATCAGCCAGCGCCTTAACATACACAGGAATAGGGACCAACATGACAACATTTTGTAGTTGAATTGCATTGAGATGGAAGCTGGCATAGTGGATAGGAGCTATACATTATCAGGTTGAAAGTGTGAAGCATGACATTGAATGCCAAAAGAAGTTTCGCAGTTGCTAGCCTGATGGTAGCAATGGGACATTTATGTCAAATGATGATAGAGAAATCCAAAGCGGGGAATGCGATTGAAATAACCATTTCTCTCAGCCTGTTTTTGCAAAGGAGTGTCGCTTAGCATGAAATGAGAAGATGAGCAAGTAGGATTGTCACAAAACTTGACAAATTTGCGTATATTGAAGTGTTCGAGGGGAATTTTTAGGAAGATTGGAAAGGGGTACAGCCTTGGTCAGGCACCGAAGAGTGCAGCGAACAGGGCAAGCAGCGCCCCAAAAGTTCACGCTGTTACTCTGTAACATCCGAAACAGAGAAGCACCGGAGTACGACTAGCTACGTTTCGTATATACGCTAACTGCGCCCCCTCTCTGAGGCCCTACCTGCGCATGCGCAAGTACAACCCCCAGTTATCATAATATGCTGGATCCGCCTCTGCACATGGTGGAGTCATAATGGTACTAAAGGTCACCAGTGACATGATTAGGTACAACACGAACATACAATCACTAGTCAAGAACTTTCTAAGTCTAGGATGTGCATTTCTGTTTGCCGTGAATTTGCCAGGGTTTTTGTCTTACTATGCTCTAAGAGACACCAAAGTCTATTTCCTTTCCTATTAAGCTCGCATATTCTGCCGTACCTTTATGCCAATATAGCCGGAGTCATCGACGTTCACCACAGTTTTGCTGTCCCTTTTGGCAGTAGTGAGTGAACACTTTGAAGGGCTTACCGAGATGTTTAGCTAACTAATAGCTAGTAACCTCTGTCACTGCCTTTGCTTCAATTTTTGCCTTTTCTGCACAAATGCACTGACATTGGCAATACCTAGCTGCTTTGGACATGATCCAGAGAAGTGCTTGTTGCTGCGATTTTTGTAACTACAAATAGGTAGATGTGGCAAATATGAATTTTGGGGTGATGTAAGGCAACTACATTTTTATTCGAACCAGTCTGTAGCGTGTAAACGGAATTTTAGAAGTATGCAGCTGACACACTCACCTCACATAGTATTATGTTGTGTCTGATGATGATAAATTTCCTAATTCTCAGAAAAAACACTTGAGTTTGCATAGCATAGCCATTGAGTCAAAACTTTACGTTCACATTCACATTTTATGCATGCAATCTTAGCATGCAATGTGGAAACAGAGTTATCTTAAAAATAAGGAGGTGTCATGATATTAGAGGTGTCCTTTGAGACAACTACACTCTATGTAGACAGGACAAGCATTTACCTTGTTCCAAATGGTTCGCCATAGAGTAATGTCGGAGCCACAAACACTGATGTAATATGCTTCAGAACATTATCGGGAAATCCAAGAGCTGCATAATTCTCATCAGGATAGAGACTGAAAAAATAACAAAACTTTCCATTATGTACTGTAGGAATCACAAGAGTTAGCTGATCTTGTTGGCTTGGGATTACAGCACAAAATCCCTGTGCGTAAAGGCTTTTATCTACAAGTAGGTAATATTCTGTGAATTAAATAAGTGAGGAATATAGGGATGCCATAAAAAGCAAGGAAACAAGGTAGGGACGACCTTGTGCATGTGATGCAGTAGTACAATGAATGATGGCTATGCAAACTGACATTGCTTGATCGTTTTAATTTTCCTCCACCTATATTGTCGCCATGTTACTCATAACATGAACTTCATGAATGAAAGATGTATTAACAAGGGATGTACAGTCTTAGTGCACTAAGACTGTACATCTAAGTCTTAGTGCTGAGTGAAAAGTACTAAAGTGCAAACCCTCGGCACAAAATGCGCGCATTGTAGCGTTGATGTAAGCTACGTATGGGCTGGGCCATGAGTCATTGATGGAGCCAGTTTCTCACCCTAACACAGGCTAGCTGCATCGGTGGGTAGCATTCTCGATCGCGGTCGTTTCAGCGAAATCACCATTTTATTTCTCTAGCCCCTGTACCGCTGAAGCTGTTGGTATCGCTCATAAGCCGCCTCGTAGCCTGTAGTGCGAGAATAGTCGTAGACACACAGACACACAGACCAAGTACAGTAACCCTCGCTGTGCGTGCGCGCCGAGTGTTAATTATTAATGAACTACACAATACTGTTGTGGTAGGAGCGCTACAGGAAACACACTACATGAGGTCCCTTTGATTTCTAGGGCCTCTGTAGTACTACAATGCTGGATAACCTCCACTATACCTATATACTAAGTACTACCATAGCTACTTAGTGATTAGGACAGTCTCTGCACACTGCAGTAGCTAATTTTGAGATCTAAACTGTAACATACCACGTCTCATCACAAAGGAGGTCCAGAAGCTGTTTCTCACACTGTCTCTCATCAACACTCCCATCCTGCAAACCCGACACAATTTCTTCAAATTTTGACTTGCCCTGGACCAGTTTCTTCTCTGGTGAGTTGAGAAGCTGATTGCTAAGACCGTAGACACCAGGTGGCATGATGTATGCTGTCGCTGATGGTCTGTTGCAACAGTAGGCAGCTTCTACTTTACTGGGACTGTTGGGAAGGCCCATCTCCAGTTAAGCATCATCGACTGCATTATGTGACAGAAAGTACCTGAACTTTGCCGTGATGAGGTTGAAGCCACTGTAGTGCTGGGCATTGGAGAGAACTGACTGGCAGTAGTCCAGAGGACTCAGCTGCTTGCTGACCTCTTGAAGATAACCTGACACTAAAAGGCCTAGTGAGTGGGGATGATGTTTAGTGTGATTAACCCTCGGCGCGCATGCGCAGCGAGGGTTACAGTAGTTGGGTTTGTCTGTCTGTCAGTCTGTCTGTTACTCTTCTCGAATGTTCTTTCGTCTCACAAACCACCTACTGAACGGGCAACGAAGGTTAGAAATTTCGAACGGTTTTCTCTGAAAACGCTCCGTTGCAAAGCTAGAGCGCGAAAAAGCCAATATGCAAATACACAACGGACGGGGGCGGCTTACCGCGTTCAGACCGATCCGCGTGCTCTGCGTATATACCTCGGAGGCACCAGAAGATGCAACGCAGGGCGTGTATCGCCTCTCGCATGCTATCTGGTTAGCCCGCGTCAGACTCTGCGCGAGCTGGGAAGAGACCACGAGTGACAGCTAAAACTAAACCCAGCCCATCAATTAGTGGTACGGCGCATGCATTTACTTACGCGTGCGCGTCACAGTGCGCCGAGGGTTTGCACTTCAGTGCTTTTCATTATAACAAGTACTTATTGCTCTTCCCTTGACTCTGCAATCACAGTAGGCCAGTGTTTGTACGTAAGTATCAGCTACACTACCTACACTAGTTGAACAAAACACAATACCTCTGCTAGTGTTTCCCTTCTTTTTGCCATTGTAATGTGAAGGAATGTTGGTTACTGCTGCCAATTTTCCACCTCTGGTCACTCCCATCCATGTTCCTCCAGCCTCCATATCGCGACCTGAAAAAGTTTATAAGGTATATACAAAAATGAGTATTAACAAATATGGTCCTACCAGCCAAGATATTAGGTTGCGTGTCCCAGAAGGCTGCATTCGATGTTTTTTTGGCAAAGAATGTGTCTCGGTTGCAAGCTACAACAAGATGGTAGGAGGAAGACGGCTGAATTGCAATGAAAAAGACACACATTATTCTTCGTAAGCGAAGCGAGACTTTTTAATCGTATATTATAAATGCTGGGTTGCCCGTTGAACATACCGTTATAACTGGTAGCGGCAATCGTGTGTGACTCACCCGTCGACCCCAGGAGAACAAGATGGTCGCAACGATCTATTTATCCGTAGCAGAGGTGGGCGTCGTTTCGGTGCGTCATGCGAGACGAAAGCAGTACGTGGTGGACGTTAAACCCGCTATCTCCTTACCAGTACCACTTCAAGCGCTGATTTTTGCCTCCAATTTCGCCGGAGGTGTGCACGGACATCAAGCTATCGTTTCTTTCCTGCAGCTAGTCACTACGGTAGATCACGGAGCGCTTCTATGGTCGACACTTAAGCCCTGCTCATGACAGGAGTGACAAAATTGGCAACAGGAGCACAGCCCGTAACGGTCGCCTACATTAATTAATGCCCACCCCTGAAACTGAATTGCTCGCAGTGGCACTGAAAAATGCTATCATGTAGTTATCATCCCTCGGAGCGTAAGCGCAGAGAGGGTTGGTTTGTCTGTCTGTGTGTGTCGACTGGCTAAGAGGCGGCCTATTAGCGATACCAGTGGCTTCAGAACTACGCGAGCCTGAAAAATAAAAGGGCGTGTTTCCTGAAATGACTGCGGTCGAGAGATAAGCCGTGAAAACCGGCGAAAAAGCCAATACGCATAAACGCAATGGGTTTACTGCGACCTGATCCGCTCGCTCTGTGTACCTTGGGGGCTCAGGAAGTCACAACGAATGGCATGTATCGACTGCCGCATGCTATCTACTACCGTAGCTAGCCCGTGTCAGACTCTCCGCGAGCTACTAGCGGGAGACCACTAGCCCAGCCCATCAATTAGCAGTATCGCGCATGCGCAGTTGGCCGAGAGGGTTTGCAGTTTAGTGCAAGGATCTGATGTAAGGCAACAGCCTAACCAAAAACATGTTTATGTTAATCTGGTGATGCTTTAGCTTGCTTGATTGCCCTAAAGAATTTGCGCATGTCTGTTGCGCCGCCCGGTACTATGGCTCCCACTGTCGCCTGGGGGGGGGGGTTACAAGTTAGTGCATCAAGTTCGCATTAGTTACGTCCCTGGTTTAAGTAAATAATGCTCTTGTATATACCAGATGAGGTGATGATATATGCTACAGATTGCAGTACTGTTAAGACAGTACCACCCAAATACCACCAAATTACACTACTACCCTGTGGCTAATTAAGCACAGTCAAGCACCAACAACCTGTGGAATGGTGTGTACCATGTGGGGAGAGCCAAGATTAAGGTTCATTACTCCCACATGTTCTTCCCACATGCACCAGGTATACAGTATAGTTGCATTGTAAACCACCACCACACGATTTCCTTGTGTTGCAAGACCTAACCATTTGCTCTTGTACAGGGGAACATCTGAATGAAGGATCTACCGTCACCTGCTCTGGGAAAAGGTACCATTCCGCGCAAATATAGATTTTCAGCTATGCAAAAAAACTCGATGGTTTTGGCAAATATACTTTATGACACAGGTGAAAACTATGACCTAGAATCTATAGCGCTCGAACGGAAGCAGCTACGAAGGTGCGGTCTCTACATTTGTATGCAGCGTGCGTTGCTCTTTCGAATGATATGCGTAACGCAATTTTGAATTTTTGCCGTATATACCTTTTCCCAGAGCGGATCACCACCCCCTTATCCACTATTCATAATGTGTTGCCCATTGTTGGTGGTTCCGGTAAAAAAGATAGTGGTTTGTTGCCCAATATTTTTATGCACTCCAGGAGACTATTGCCATCATCTATGAGTGTGTGTTCATGGATGGCTTAGCTGAAAAGCACTAAAGTGCAAACCCTCGGTGCATTACGCATGCGCGGTACTGCTCATTGATGGGTTGGGCCAAGAGTATGCGTTTACTCGTGGTCTCCCCAGTCCCCACCCTATCGTGGCGGATCGTCTCCATGCGCAACTTTCTTTCGCCGTCTTCCTCCTTCCGCCATTCGGCAGACACGAGCCAGCCACACTTTACTGTCGATCACGCGTACAAGCGCTCGCTGTGGCCGGCACTGAGCCCCTCCTTCCCGTACACGCGCTCGCTTCGGCCCGTTGAGCCCCTCCGCTATCCGCCGCTATATTATTGGTCCAGAGGAGCGCCGAATCTGCGTTGTTTGCGCCTATGCGTCGTACACAACATGGGTGTGGCAGATGGAATGCTCGCTCGGGACAAACGAGGGATTCCAGCGCCGGCGGGCGGGACGTCGGGTTAACGTAGAAATATCGGGACTGTTGGCAGGTAGCTATGAGAGTCTGACACGGGCTAGCTCGTGAGGCAATATACACGCCTTAAAAGCACAGTCTGGCAGGTATTGAAACACACAAGAGAAGATAGATTGAATAAAGCAAATGTGAGATCCTCTGAAACACCTGAGCAATTGCTCTAACCGCTAAGCCCTCTGATGCAACTAGCCTGTGTTACTGTATTACTGGCTTCGTCGACGACGCATGGCCAAGCATACAGCAACGCTACAACGTGCGCATTTTGCGCCGAGGGCTTGCACTTTAGTGCTTTTTTCTGTATGGATAATCAACTTACTATATTATGATAGTCCCTTTGTAGTAAACCATTTACGTTGTGTATGCTCATGCAATTCTTTACTCCTACAAGATTCTCCGCATATCTGTGCACATCTGCACAACAATGTCAGTTGAGGCCGGGTGCCCAATGACTGAATGAAGGGGTGTGGTCGCCTCAGCCATCCCTCGAACAATTTTCAAACCCTCACCTTTACATCCCTTTCGTGAATACATGATTAGTGCTGTCATGTGACCTTCAGCCAATCAGATCCTTCCAATTTTGCACATGCATTCTGCTTTAAATTGCTTAATGCACTGAAAAGTTTGAATGCACACTTCTTCCACGTAATGCACACTTTTACCAGCTTATATACTCACTTTTGGCTGAGTTCACATGCAGCACTATAGAACACACTATGCAGTGTATTATGCGGTTCCAATTAATGCGCTCGGAGGGGGCGCGATAACAATCTCGATTTCGTAATTCGCTCACCTATGGCTCATGCATTACCTAACTTTGATCCTCGTGCACTAAGAGTAAACGGCGTAATGCACTGCTATTATTATTATTGCCAATAATGTATATACCCTGCCAAACATCAAATTGTGAACTATTATACCAGTGCATGAACAATGAGTGCAAACCAGTGGCACAATAAATGCATGCGTTGTTCTGCTTGTGCATTGCATAAAGCGCCCCAAATATTATAATGAATCTGGAAGAGAGCTGGGTATATATTTACTACGGTACATTGGCCATAGCACATAGGATTGGTAGGTCGATGCCCACCATTAACCTCGTATCAAAGACATAGTTTCAATAATTAGTTATTGTGTGGGATTTGTAGAGTGATGCCCAACATTAAGTTTTAATTTTGTATGGTATGTGAATGTAATGTTTGGTGCTCTTTTTTGTTATGAGACATTAGCCATGACACGTAGGATTATGTAGCTGGATGCCCACCATTAACCAATGGAAAGTTGTGTAGGTTGGTGAGTTGATACCCATCTGTGGTATATATTACCTCCACACATTGACATGCACAGTGACACAACGTGTGATGCATATGTACAATCAGCAGTGTTTAACTCTTCACCAAAATTAATATTGAGTAAGAGATTTTATTGATTTTTGCGCTCATTACTTTTGTTACAGAATGTTAGCCATGACCCATATAGAACCCATACATATCTCTTTCTTAGAAGAAACACGGGTGACGTAACGTGAGAGCAGAGCTCAGTATAGTTATACATGGAGAGATTGCAAATGGCATGTGTGTCACGCCAGTGAGAGTCTTGGTAAATTTGAGCTGCCTGGGACAAATCTCCTCTGCTCTTAGCAAGACACTCAGTAAATATGAGACAATCTTCGAAGCCAGCATTCATTCCCTGTCCATAAAATGGAACTACAGCATGTGCTGCATCTCCGAGAATAAGTGTGGTTTCAGCCATGAAATGTGGAAAGCACTTGATCGATAACATCTTTCCCTGTGGGTTAGAAAAGTAGTCTTTATAGAGACGCTCGACTCCAATTTTCTCACAGTTAAAGCTCAGTGCAACTAGCTATGAATATTGGCTTTTTTGTCTGGTCATAATTATAGGTGTCTGTAAAGCAGTTGTATCAGGAAAATCGCCTTTTTAATTTTCAGGCTAGCGTAGTTCTGAAGCCGCTGGTATCACTAACCGGCCGCCTTGTAGCCTGTAGTGCCAGTATAAGCGTCGACACACACAGAGACAAACCAACTACTGTAGCGACTAGTTAGTATTATGACCCCTGTATTATTTTTATGGACTTATGGAGGCTCTGGACTCATATATGTGTCCGTTGGCTGCTTAAGTGTTAGGGTGTCAGCCATCGTTGAACTCCAATATACCTCCACCTTCACCCTCTGGGGTTTCCAGCTCTGATCTTCCAGCCTCCCAGGTTCAATTCCGAGAGACAGTTCAAGAAGCCTAGCCTAGTAATTCTGAACAAACGTCTATGGTATATCAGAGCTGAATTTATTTTATCAGACCTAACGCACTCATTATAATAACACCAAAGATTAATTTTAACAAAGCACAGTGAAAAGTATTCAGTTGCAGTCAGTAGGAGCTCCCAAAAGTAGGTAGATTTATATGCCATTAAATGCGCTGGATTCGCATTCTACTTGTGACCATTATAATACCTCTCATAGGTCAATGCAAGCATGATTAAGTAATAACAAGCGTGAGTACAGTTTGAATGAAAAGCACTGAAGTGCAAACCCTCGGCGCACTGTGACGCGCACGCGTAAGTAAACGCATGCGCCGTACCACTAATTGATGGGCTGGGCTTTTCTTTTCTTTACTCGTTGTATCGCGCTAGTAGCTCGCGGAGAGTCTGGCACGGGCTAGCTACAGTAGTAGATTGCATGCGGGAGTCGATACATGCCCTTCGTTGTGACTTGTTGTGTCTTCAAGATACACAGAGC